CGCCGCAGGCCGGCGGCTGGTGCGCGCGGCACGCGGCGCGGCGCACCGCCGCTGGGGCTGGTCTGCGGGCTTGAACGCCTCAAAAATTATCCCTGCACCGGCGCCCCCAAAACAAGCGCTGCTGCCTCCACTCTGCGCCAGGAGGCTGCTGAACGGCGGCTGGCAGCCGCCGGGGTACATGCCATCAGCCCCCTTAGCCTGCGCGGCCTGAATCAAGCCAGCCCACTCGCGCTTCAGCCTCTGACACCCCCCTGCAGCTCCTTCCAGGCCCTTCCTCCTCCCCCTGGCCCCACATTGCTCATGCGCATGCACCAGCAGTGACCCCAATATACACTGTCCCACCCCCAAGAAATGCCCACCTCTGTCCACATCTCCTTGACGTTCTCGAGGATCATGTTGCAGTGGCGGTCAAAGGCCTTGACGCGCGCCAGAAGCTTGTGGTTGTTGCGGCAGTTGATCAGCACCTGTTGGGGGGGCGGCGTGGGTGGCCGATGGGTGGGGCAGCGTGGATGGCGGGGGCCGCGCAGCCAGCACTCGGTACGCCTAGGGAACGGCCAGACCGCCGGGCACTTGCAGACAGCACCCGCCGTGCAGGCGGCATGTGTATCCAAGTGCGTGCATAGGTCCTGTTAGCATAAGTGGCGGGCGCGCCGCCGTCTTTGACTGCTCCGGCACAGTCGCGGTGCTGAGGCTCTTGCAGCTAGCCAGGGAGTGGGGGGCGCAGCCTGGCCGCCCGTGCGCGCCTGCGAGTTGGTCTTGACGCTAGTGGTCAGCACCGAGAGCGGCCCCGTCCGGAACTCCTCCTCCTCCTTCTTCTCCCGCTCGTCCACGCTCATCGGCTGCGCGGCTGCCATGGGTGCTGCGGCGCTGCAACGCGCAGCGGCGTATGTGGTGCCGTCCGCCCGTGTCCCGCTCCCCCAAGCCCAGGGCAAAGGTGTCTGCTGTTTAGGGAGTGTTAGGTACACAAATCGCCCTTCTGACGGCCGTGACTCGCTACAAAAGGCCTACGCACCCAGTGAGGGCGGATCGACGATCTCAGTTTAAAGAAGGGTAATGGTGGCCGGTCATGGCAATCTAAAAGAGGGAATGTCCTTCCACAAACGTGCGCTACCACTTCTGAGGGCCAGGAGGAAGGTCACAGATCACACCGCGGACACAGGTCCCTCTCGATTAGCAAATTAGATTAACACATTACGGTCTGCATATTGCAAACGTGCCTTCTGAAGGATACCATCCCTGCTCAGGCGCCTTCTGATCGAACCCGTCAATGGTGCACGTAAGCAGGCATGTCCAATGGCGCAAGGAATTTATACAATCATCAGTACCGCTTGGGTCCACATGGCGCTGCTGCAGCCTTCCGACCCGAGCCCCAGCGGCGGTCCGCGTCAGCAGCAACGGGAGCGGCACAGGACCATCCAATGTCGGGGCAGTGGCCGAAGCGGATAGCGAAAAGCAGCAGCAGCAAAAACAGCAGCAGGCAGACACATTACAGCAGCCATCGCAGCAGCCGGCGCGCACCGCGGGCGTCTCCTCCACGGGTGGCAGGCGCCCCCGCCTGCTGCGACGCGGCCAGGAGCCGGGGGCCGGCGGCGGCGGCGCCGCGGGCGGGGCGCCCCTCATCACCTTTGAGGAGGTGCAGGCGGCGGCGGCCGCCAAGGGGCTGTGCATAACGCGGCAGACGCTGGGGCCGTTCTACAGGATCGTGTGCCGCCAGGGTGCGGCGAGGGGCGCGCCGTGGCGGGGCGGGGCGGGGCGGGACCGTGCAGCTTGGCACGTGCGCCGGTGCTGCACGGGGCTCCCTGCTGCAAGGGGGCGCTGCAAGTCACTCTCACCGCCTGGACCCTGGGTTGTTCATGACGGTGCAGCACACCAGCCACGGGTGATGGGCTATGCCAGGCCCTCAGGCAGCAAGAGCGCGCGCGCGCGCGCGCGCGCATCGCCCCCGCGCAGGCGACGACAAGGGGCGCATCTTGGGGGTGACCAGCGGCTTTGTGGCGCCGCCCTTCAGGCTGGTTCACTGCGACATGCTGCAGATATTCACGCGCGGGTGGGCCGGGGGTGTGATGAGTCATCAGGGGTGACGGGGTGGCTGGGACAGCCACCTGGGCCCGCGCTAGAGCGCGGCGGCAGAGCGGCCAGCCCAGCGGTGTGCAGGGTTCACGCAATTGGCATGCGTGGAATTTTCGGCCGCGAAATGAGTCCGGCGTGGCGGCGCGAGCGCGCGGCTGCGTGACGCGCGCCCCCTTCTGTGGCCACCGCCGCGTGGCTGGCCACCCCGCAAAATGACTCATGTTGTCGCGCAGTGCCCGCGCCCCAGCCTCCCCTCCCACGCCGCCCGCATCCGCGCCCGCGTTTTGAAAAAAATCTCCCGTGCATGACCCAAACCCCAGCATGCGCGGGGAAGAGGGCGCGCGCGTGCGCGGGGGCGCGGGGCTGGCGGTCGGGCTGCTGCTGGGCGGCGCAGTGTTCAGCCACGCGCACGCGGCGGGATGCAGCAAGGCCGAGATCCTGGCGATAAACGACGACGGTGGGCAGCCCAGGGCACTCTGCATCCCACCAATCATTTTGCTGCGCATGCGCCGCAGTGCAAGGAGAATGAGCTGACCTTGGCTGCGCCACTGCGCTCGCTCACACGCAGCGCCCCCCTTGGGACGCGCGGCACCCGCTCTCACCCCGCCCTCCATCCCCGCCCCTGTTCCTCCCCTCTATCCCTTTTTTCCCCCAGACGCGTGGCACGAGCGTCTGGTGCGGTACTACAATTTTTTCGGGTTTGAGCCTGTCGTGCGCGTGGGGGGCCGCGGCCTTGCCGACCTGCCACACCTGCTTGTCTGGGGGGGCGAGGGCACGCGCATGGACGCTGATGTGGCGGCGATGCTGGGCAAGTGGGGGCCCTCCATCCGGCGCGGCAGCCGGTAGCGGGCGGCCGTGGCGGTTGCGCGCGCGCGCGCTTTGCTGTTGAGGCGGTGGACGTGTAAAGTCGCAACCTGATGGGCAGGTTTTTGGGGTGGATGGGCGTCGGCAGGCGCGCGGGGTCGGGGTGGGGACGAGTGTGATGCGATGTATGGTGGTGGTGCAGCGGGATCGGGCGTGGGGGGATCCCACAACGGTTTCAGGGTCGAGCCAAGGGTGGGATGAAAAGCGCTGGCCACCCGGAGCAGCTGTGGGGTGTGGGCCAGAGACTCCTGCAGAACTGGCCAGAGGATCAAAACGATGGGTTGAAAGCCTGGCTGTTGTCCCCATCGAAGGCGCGAGCCCGGCCGCGTTGGTGCGGGGGCGTGTGGCGGTGGCTGACTGCTGGGTGCCTGGTTTGGGTCGCGATGACTTACCCCTTCCTTCCCGTGTTCACTCGGCGCCGGATGCACGTCCCTCGGTTCGAGACGCCTTGTCGATGGTATTGGAACACATTTCACACTTATCATCGCTGTCTGACAGGCTACGATTGGACTCCAGTCACTCGGCCCTCTCGGCACTCGGCCCTTCGCCCTGAATGGCTCACGCGTGCGACCGTCCGTGAGAGCATTTAAGACGCTGAGACGTCAAATTCATGAGCTCTCAAGGGGGGGTCACCCGACGGCCCCCCAGCCTGCGATGCGCCGCTCTCGCGGTGCTCATCCTGCTGCTTGGGAGTGCTTTCTGCGCGAACGGACAAAATCCGACGTATGAGCAGCGTCGGAAAGCCTACCTGGCGCGCGCAGCAACACGGCGAGACGCCATTCGGCAGCGGCTAGCCGCGACCGCGCTCCGCGACAGCGTGCAGGCGCAGAAGCAGCAGGCGGCAGACCCCGCGGGCCAGGGCAAGGCGTCCCCGTCGCCGGCAGTGCCAGGGTCGCCCGCAGCGCCGCCGAATCAGCCGGGAGGCCCCGCCAAGAATGATTCAGGCAGCGGCACTAAATTCACGTACCAGGTGCGGGGCCCTGGGGCCACGCGTCATCCCAGCCGTCGCGGCAGGGCCAAACCGTGCAGCACGCCGGATCGATCTCGTGGATTTGTGGCCCTGCTGGCGCGCGCGAATGTGTTGCGTCCCAGCCCCTGCGCGCCGCGGTTGGCCTGATGCTTCCCTGCTACGCACGCACGGCTGGCCGCAGAGGCGCGCGCGCGGGCATGCGTCCGCATGGGCGTGCGCTCACGCGAATTCGCGCCCCCCGCAAACCTGCTTAAATCCCCGCAGGAGGTGCATCTGGATGGCCAGAGCGGCGCGCCGCCCGTCCTGGTGCTCACGACACCGCAGCCAGGCAGCAGCAGCAGCAGCGGGAACAGCAGCAGTAGCAGTAGCGGCAGCAGCGGCACCAGCAGCAGCAGTGGCGGCAGCGGCGGCGTCCAGAGCAGCAGCAACTTGAAATCGGCGAAGGAGCGCGCATTTGCGCCGGGGCAAGCCAGGGTGGTCAACAAGACGTGGCAGGCGCCGACGCTGGCCTCTCACTGGCAGTATCAGGTGCGCGCCCGGACGGACGGCAGGCGCGGTGCCGCAGCGCGGCGAAGCAGTCGTTTCTCGCGGGCGGGCGGGGGGTAGAAGAGGGCGTTCGCCTGCACCTAGCGGCTGCACGCCCCGTGCGCAGCTGCCGCCCCATATCGCCCCGCGCGCCCCAGCTGCCCCCTGCCCAGGGCCCCC